ATTTATAGATGGCCACCAGATCCCCTCTCAGCCTTCTCTTATGGAGGCTGAAGAGATCCAGGTCCCTCAATCTCTTCTTGTAGGACCTTTCCTGTAGGCCCCTAACCATACGAGTGGCTTTCCTCTGGACCTCTCGGGGTTATCCACATTCCTCTTGAAGTGTGGTATCCAAAACTGGATACAGTACTGCAGCTGTGGCCTTGCCAATGCTGCATAGAAGGGAACTATCACCTCCTTAGACCTGTTCTTGATGCACCTTTTTAATGCATGATAGAGTGCGGTTAGCTCTATTGATCACTTCGTCACATTGTCGGCTCATGTTCATCTTGGGAGTCAACTTCCCTTTTTGCTGCTGTGCTGCTTAGAAAGTCATTTCCCGATCTGCATGTGTGTTTGTGATTCCTTCTCCCCAGATGCAGTATTCTGCACATATCCTTGTTAAACTGCATCCTATTTTGTTCTGCTCACTTTTCCAGCCTGTCCAAATCCTCCTGAATCCATTCCCTGCCCTCTAGTGTTTCTGTCTACTTTGCCCCATAATTTGGTGTCATCAGTGAATTTGGACAGTGTGTGCTTACCACACCCTTGTCTAAATCACTGATGAAGATGCTGAACAGCACTGGCCCGAGGACTGAGCCTTGGGGGACACCACTGCCCACATCTTTCCAGGTCGAGACCGACCCATCCACCACCAATCTCTGGATGCGTCCCATTAGCCAATTTGCCATCCACCTGACCATGTAATCATCTGTCACAGCCTCACGATGGGATTCTGTTGATGATTTATCTTACCTTAGGAATTGTGTATTCCTCAGGTGTGAGGCTTGCTGCGTAATGTGGGGTTTAGTTTTTCCCCCTTTCTAATGTTGTTGTTGATGCCAGGAATCTGTTTTAAAGTCAGGCCAGCTGGAAACGCAATGGGAATCTTTTAAAGATGGCAGCTTCACTGAATGGAGTCTCTGAAATGGATGTCGCCCTGGTGACTTTCAGTCCTAGCATCTCTGCACAGCCGCTGCTTCCATCTGCACTGCTGTTTGCTTTGGTTTTTGCAGACGTTTGCTACAAGGGCGGCTGCTAGCCTGGCTCTTACCGCTTGGATTTACGCTCCATTTCAGGGATTGCTTTATCTCCACTTCTGCTATTAATGTCAGCCCAGTGGTAAAATGTTACCCCTCCAAGTGGCACCCATATTTTTGTAAGTATGGCTCATGCATCCTTGCTATAATGGATCTGGTAGTTTAGCAAATGTTGGAAGATGAATCGCTGCTCTTCCATGGCAAAAGGCCCAGTGCATAATTTTACATTTACTCGGAATAATGTAGCCTTGGATATCACGGGCCTGGATTTAGTATTGCTGGCTAAACTGTCTAAAGGTTTTATCCAGCCTTGCAGCCTCTTCTTTAAAATATTGTAGTTTAATCCTGGCAAGCAGGCACTGCCCTGTCTCTAGTAAAAGTGAGTTTTTCATTGACAGCCTTTCTCTGGGCTCTAAACTGAGTCATCACTTAAAAGGATTAGCCATTCTAGCCTGTATGAGTTCAGGTTTTGTTTTTGTTTTTTTTCATGGTGCAAGTCCATTGGTTGGAAAGAAAAAAATGTCGTCTTTCTCTGCAAAACAAATTTAGTACTTTGGCCTGCTCCTAGAGAGCGCCACGACTCGTTCAGCTCCGGAGTTGCAGCAGAACAAACGCAAGCTGCGCTTTCACAACCGGATGGCTGTTTCTGTGGCTGCAGGACTTATACAAGAGCCTTTCCCTTTGGATCAAGCTGCAGCTCAGCACACAAACAGCCTCGCAGTTCACCCTTTTAAGCTAAATTGGGTAGGTTGAGGTAGGAGAGTCTGCATTAGCCTTGTGGCAGTGTGCACCTGAGCACATCCAGGGAAAGAATGTGATAACTTTTTCATGTCCTGTTTTACTGGGACTTCCTGAAGCACTGCAGAGAAGCCACAGGGGAGTTTCAGTATGGCGTGTGCACATACTTAGCTGTGTGCTAATAGACGGGAGGTCCCTGGACATGGGAGACGCATGGGTGTCTGCCCTTCTGAAGGCCTCTGTGTTCAGGAACTCGAACTTGCACACACCATCTAGCGTGACTTCATTAGCAACTCCCCTTCTCCCTGCCTTCTGCGGTTCGTTACAACTGCCTATATTTCTATGATCCATTGTTTATCTTTGCAATCATGGCCTGCAAAGCAATCCCCTCCTTCCTCTAGATAGACTTCTAGTTGACTCTGAGTTGATTTCTTAAAAGCTTGAGATAAGTATACTCCCATACAGGATGTTTCTGCAGCAGGCGGGGTGTGAACAGGTCCAAGCCTCTGGAAATACAGTTGATGGGTGCCATGCTCTGCAAACGCTGACGTTCTGCTTGGCTGAAAGGACTTTGAGAAGTTGGGTGGCTTGCAGAATTTGCCAGGCCAATTTCACAGATGCTGCAAGCTGTGCTATGCAGAAAGGGGAGTTCGGAAAAATCTATAAACAGTCTATTTCAGATGGAGTTACCATGTTGTTATAACCATGTTGTAACAAATGACCTTCACTTTTCGGTGTAATTGCAGTGTTCCTCGTGTCGGTTTCCTGACCGGGAGTTATTGTTTTAAAAAAAAAAAAAAAATCAAAATTCTTTTTAATTGAATGTGGGTTGGCAGTGTGGGAAGAAAAGATTGGGGAGATGACACTGACTTAAAAGAGAAAAAAGTCCTTTGTTGCTGGTATAGATCTGTATCCGAGATGACTGGGTCAGCACTAAATTGCTTTTTTGGACAAAATCTGGAGGTTGGTAATCTAAATGCCGACAGATTAAAAAATGACTTAAATAGTGAGGCCCAAGCAGTCAGCTGAAATATCCTTTTGACTACATTAATGTGGGAGAATGGCTCGTATGCTTTGAATGGACCTTTTTGTTTTTTCTCGGTGAACGTGGGATTTGCCAGGAGAGTCTGACCAAAAGGTTGGAAGCTGGAGTGCCGTGTTGGCTGCCTTGGAAAGAAAACAATAGATGCAAGATTGGGAGTAGATATTGAAGCCAATTCTGACATTGGCCGCTTGGAAGTTATTGTATATTAATTTGCCTGTTGTTATTGCTAGGTGTGTGTTTATATGCGCTGTCTGGGAGAACATGGTGGTACAGCCAGCACTCGGAAACTTATTTCAAAGCCAAGGCTCCAATCATGGATAACAGGCAACAAGCACCCTGTTTCAAACCCACTCCTGCATTTGGTTTTCTTGTGAGCAAGTGTGTGAAGATGAAAGGACTTGTGCAAATGGAAACATGCTGCTCTTGTAGAGTTTTATTGGGGGGAGGAGGGGAGTACAGTTGTGGATGACTGCCCAGCACTGACCTCTGCTCTGGTTTGGCACAGGGAAATCCTGACTCATTCAAGCTGTTCCCACTATTGTCTTCCTGAGGCTGCATCAGCTATTTTGTAGCTTGCACGTAAAGCCGGTGTGGGGAGGCATAGAGATGGTAGGGCTATTTCCCAAGCCATACGATCTAGAACAGGGGTCACCAACTCCTGGCACATGCCAGAGCGTGGCACACGAAGCCATTTTGCTCAGCACGCCACAGCCAGCCCAGGCTCTGGGCAGAGCCCTGCCTACAGCTGCAGAGCCTGGGCTGCTCACAACAGGCAGCAGGGAGGCTGCAAGCAGCTGTACTGGGGTCCATGTGGCCCCAACCATGCTGACCCCAGCCCCTTCCCTGTTGTCAGCAATAAATCCAGCCAGGGCTGCATGGACCCTAGTGTAGGTATTTGCAGCCTGGGCTCTGTGGCTGGCGGCAGGGGTCTGCCCAGCCCTTGGGCCAGCTGTGGGAGGCAGTCAGACGCTTGCAGCCTCCTACACTGGGGTCCGTGGAGCCCTGGCTCGGTTCGTTGCCAGTGGTGGATGTGTGGGCACCTCTGGGCAGATGGTGGGGAAGGGGCCAGGGCTGCAAAGCCTCAACAAGGATCAGGCTCCTCGCAGCCCCCCTGCCATCTGCCCTGGCATGCCAGTATCTTCCAGGTTGAGGTTGCAGGGTTTTTGGTGCTCTGCCCAAAAACCTTGTCAACCCATGGGCCAGAAGATTTGGGGTTTTTTTGTTTTTGTTTTTTAAATCAATCTAAAATTGTTCTGTGAGTGGGGAGGGACTCTGTACCCTCGAATCCATGTGACTGCACTAAGCCATCTGTCACCTCTCTGCAGATATCTCGAAGGTAACTGGGATTCTTGTCTTCCACAGGCCCTGTTGCTGTTGGGTGGTGTTGCCCTGTCCTGCCTTGCTTTGGATCTCCTCTTCCTCCTGTTCTACTCATTCTGGCTGTGCTGCCGCCATCGGAAAAGTGAAGAGCACTTAAATGCAGATTGCTGCTGCACTGCCTGGTGTGTGATCATAGCCACCCTAGTGTGCAGGTGAGTTTTTCTATTGTCTGGAGGTGAAATGGGCATTCACTTCACCATTGCCTGTAGCTTCCAAAATGTTCACTTACCTGTTTGTTTTTTGTTTTAACCATGGTGGAAGCAGTGCTCTGCACTCTGAGTGACAGTAAGTATACACAAGATTAACCCAATCCACATTAACAATCTTGAGTGCTTGGACCCATAAATATGTCCAGTGGCCTCACTGTCTTACCCCAACAAAGCATCCTGCTGTGAGCCAGTCTGACAGCTAGGCCATGCAGACTTGTAACAAAAATAAACCTCCACTCCTGATATCGCAAGCGTTGGCTATATAAACATCCCTTCCAGTCCTCCTGAAAGTGCTGTGTTACAAACCCTTTCTCCCAGAGTCTCTTGATTAGCGTGCATTACCCTCGTGTCTAACACTTTCCCAAAACACGGATGGTATTCTCAGACCTTGTACTTCTGCCCAAATAAAACTAGGTCTTCATTTTCAGCTGTGCTGAGCATGCTTGGCACCCTCACTTCTGGTGAACTGAGTGCCCTGTGTAAAATAGATGCCAAGTGCATCAGAGAATCATTTGGCCTGGCATGAAGGAGAAGTATAGTGCACATCTGGCAGTAACACACAGTATATTTTGCATCGGTTTGGGTGTCTCCTTTTACAGTGGAGAAGCTCAAGTGAGGAATTCCTGGCCTATGAGAACACAAAAGGGGTGTATAAAAGGGGTGATGGCTTCTGTCATTTCTGTTGCTTTCTTCTCACCTGACGGCAAAATGGTGGTTTGGCCTCCAATAGTCAGCATGGGGTTAGGTTCCCTGGCAGGGGGAGTAAGCTGTTGAGTTTGCCACGTTAGCGCAAATATGAAAATGTACCAAGGAAACTAAAAAACTACACAGTATGGGAGCAATCCAGCAGACTATACCAGCACTCGGAAAGGTGGGCACGGATTTGCCTTCAAAGGTTGAGAGTCTCCATGCTGAGGGGAGTTAGGACTTTGTTATTATTTGTTATAGTTATAGTTTTAGGGTCGGAAGGGACCTAATAGAAGGTGGGCACGGATTTGCCTTCAAAGGTTGAGAGTCTCCATGCTGAGGGGAGTTAGGACTTTGTTATTATTTGTTATAGTTATAGTTTTAGGGTCGGAAGGGACCTAATAGATCTTCTAGCCCGACCCCCCCCGCCAGGGCGGGAGAACAACCCAAAAAAAAAAACAAAAAAAACCAAACAAACCTAAAAACAAAAACGGGACTCAAATGAGTCCAGCCAGGTAAGTATCCAGCCTCTTCTTAAAGATCCCCAGGGTAGGGGCCAGCACCACCTCCCTTGGAAGTTGGTTCCAGCTCCTAGCCACCCTAACTGTGAAGTAGTTTTTTCGGATGTCCAATCTGTACCTCCTCTCCATCAACTTGTGCCCATTACTCCTTGTTATGCCAGCGGGGGCTAGGGGAAACAGCGTCTCCCCCAAACCCTTCTGGTTCCCCCTAGTGAGTTTATAGACGGTCACCAGGTCCCCCCTCAGCCTTCTCTTGTGGAGGCTGAATAGGTTCAAGTCCCGCAGTCTCTCACTGTAGGGTCTGCCCTGTTGTCCCCGGATCATGCGGGTGGCCCTCCTCTGGACCCTCTCCATGTTGTCCACATCCCTCCTGAAATGGGGCGCACAGAACTGGACACAATACTCCAGCTGCGGCCTGACCAGCGTCGCATAGAGGGGGAGGATCACCTCCCTGGCTCTACTCGAGATGCACCTGTGGATGCACGACAAGGTCCGGTTAGCCCTGCCAACCATGACCTCGCATTGTCGGCCCATGTTCATCTTGGAGTCAATAATGACACCAAGATCCCTTTCCGCCTCCGTGCTCTCAAGTAGGGAGCTCCCCATCGTATAAGTGTGCTGCTGGTTCCTACTACCCAAGTGCAGCACCCTGCACTTGTCCGTATTGAAACGCATCCTGTTCCTGTCTGCCCACCCCTGTAACCTATCCAGATCCTTCTGCAATCTCTCTCTCCCTGCTAGCGTGCTCACCTCCCCCCAAATTTTGGTGTCATCAGCGAATTTAAACAGGTTGCTCTCCACCCCAACATCAAGATCGCTGATGAAGAAATTGAACAGCGCAGGCCCCAGGACCGAGCCCTGGGGGACTCCACTACCCACCTCCCCCCAAGTCGAATATGATCCATCCACCACCACCCTCTGAGTGCGACCCTTCAGCCAATCTGCAATCCATCTGACCGTGTAGGCATCTATGCCACAGTCGCCTAGTTTATTAATTAGGATGGGGTGAGAGACGGTGTCAAAGGCCTTGCTGAAGTCCAGAAAGACTACATCCACCGCGACACCTGCATCCATGGCCTTTGTGACCTGATCATAAAAGGCAATCAGGTTGGTCTGACATGATCTCCCCCTAATAAATCCATGCTGATTGCCCCTGAGCATCATCTCGGATGCCGGCCCATCACAAATGTGCTCCTTGATGATCTTCTCAAAGAGCTTCCCCAGGATTGAGGTAAGACTGACGGGCCTATAATTGCCCGGGTCCTCCCTTTTCCCTTTTTTGAAGATGGGGACCACATTAGCTACCTTCCAATCGTCTGGCACCTGGCCCAAGCACCACGATCGCTCGTAGAGCCGTGCCAGGGGCCCTGCAATAACCCCAGCCAGCTCCCTCAGCACCCTGGGGTGGAGAGCATCCGGACCCGCTGACTTGAACGCGTCCAGCCCCTCCAGAAGCTCTCTAACCCGGTCCTCCCCAACCTGAGGTCTGAAGGCGATCCCCTCGCGTCCGGCTTCTATCACAGCAGGGAAGTCCCGGTCCCTGCACAAGAAAACGGAGGTGAAGAATTGGTTAAAGAGGTCCGCTTTATCCTCTGACGCAACCACCAGATTGCCCCGCATATCCTGCAGGGGCCCCACATTACCCGGCGCCTTCTTCATCCTCCCAATATATTTGAAAAAGGACTTTTTGTTATCCTTAATCCTGGACGCTAATCCGAGCTCTATCTCCGCCTTGGCCTTCCTAACAGCCCGCCTGCAGGCCCGAGCAGAGGAGGTATACTCCTCTTTGGAGATTACACCCCCCTTCCACCGGGCGTACGCCACCCTTTTGGCAAGCAGGCATTCCCGGACACCCTTGGTGAGCCAGGGGGGCTTTTGGACACTCCTGCCCGCCTTGCTTCTTGTCGGGATGGACACCCCTTGGGCCCCGAGTATCGTTTCCTTAAGGAACGACCACTCCTCTTGGACGCTGAGTTCCTCTGCCCTCAAGGACCCCAGTTCCTCTCCCACTAATCTCCTCATCTCACTGAAGTTGGCCCTCCTGAAGTCTAGGGCCACCACCTTGCTGCGGGCCCTTGACACTCTACGCTGGATGGTGAATTCCAGCACGCGATGATCACTATTGCCCAGGTGGTCAAGAACCTGGAGGCCTCTTACCAGGTCGTCGCCTGCGGCCAGGACCAGGTCCAGCAGAGCATCTCCTCTGGTGGGACTGTGCACCTCCTGAATCAAGTGGAGGTCCTGCAACTCGGCCAAGAACCTCCTGGAGCGGTCCGTCCCGGCTGACTGCTCCTCCCAGCAGATGTCCGGGTAATTAAAATCGCCCATGACAACTACATCCCTTGCTTTTAGTGTCTCCGCAAGCTGGCCTGAAAATTCCCTGTCCAGCTCCTCCTCCTGATTGGGGGGTCTGTAATAGACCCCCACCGTCAAATCCCTCTCGCCTTGCCCCCCCTGGATCTTGACCCAGAGCACTTCAGCTCGCCCTTCCCCTGACCCCATACTGCTGGCAGAGGATGTGTAGTGCTCCTTGACATAAAGTGCCACCCCCCCTCCCTTTTCTGCCTTCTCTATCCCGCCTGTACAGCCTATAGCCCCTAATGTTAACTGCCCAGTCATGGGACGAGTCCCACCATGTCTCTGTTAACCCTACGACATCTGGATTTGAACTAGCTATTCTGAGGGCGAGTTCCTCCTGTTTGTTTGTTCCCCATGCTACGAGCATTGGTGTACAGGCATTTAAGGCCTTGCAAGACTGTGTGCCCCCCACCCCCTGATTAGCCAGACCATCAGGACCCCTGTTACTTACCATCAGGACCCCCATTACTTACCTTTGCACCCCTTGCCCTGATGGCGTCTCCTCGTCTTCCTGCAGCCCCCTCCCCCGGGGGCAACTGTTTGGCAAACAGTGGATTCAGTTTGGGGCGCTACTGATTTACTGATCAGACAGATTTCTTTGGAATGGAAAGACGGACATAATATAGATGTCTCTTATTTTTTTTAATATCTTAATATACTTTGTGTTGTTCTTTGCAGGCTATTACATGTATAATTCTAATTCATATACACAAAATCAAATTTGTGTGTGTATCTATATAATAGCCTGCAAAGAATAGACCCAATAGACCCCCACTCTTGGTTGCCTGGCTCATTATGATCCCAGGAGCTTCTGCTATACAAACATCTCCTCCAATCCCCTCTGAGTGGTATGTTCCTAACCCTTTCTTCCAGGAGCTGGCACCAAAGCTATTTATAGTTGTGCTGCTGCTGTAGGCTCTCTGGCTACTGTTATGCAACATATGTGTCCAAGGCAGCTGCAGCAGTGAGTTCTTGAACTGTATAGAAAGGGTGAGATGGAGTATATTTGCAGGTTTGGTGTCTCCCAGAGCTGGCAGAAGGTTGAATTTAGAACGTGAAAACGTCAGAGCTCTTCAGGCTCAGATAATCTCAGTGTAGCTGTGGCTTTCTTTGTGAGGGGCGTAACCAGTCATCTCCAGAATTTCCAGCATCTCCACCAGCTGTCTTTTTAATCCCGGGTATTCCAAATGTTCGCCAGGCACGACTTAAGGGCACATCTTTACAACAGACACATTTGTCATGCGTTGTCTTTCTCACTTGCCCTCCTCTAAAGGCATACTGTGGGGCTAGTGAGAAATGTTTTAATTTCCCCTCCAGAATGCATAAATAGCTAGTTCATTAAGCAGCAGTAGATCATGGCAATCCATGGTAAGTGAA